TTCTTGAGACTTCCTGTCATTGGCAGTGCACGATACAAACATTCACCACGTAATTATTATCAACTGACAATTCGTCATTTGAGTGTTAGAGTGTACTATGTCCATCAGGCAAATTTGGGGAAACTTAGCTTGACGATAGACAGTCAACTGTAATTTAAGTTTGATTAGGATTAAAACACATTCTGAAATATCACACTTGCAATTAAATATATCAGTAAAAATATGTGGAAATAGTGCAACACAGAATGCGGAAAGAGAAAAGTGCAATATCTCATTTTCGACCAAGGGCACAGATAGACATTAGAGTTCAATGTACAGGCAACGAGTCTGAAATTATTGGAAGTAGTCATTAGTATAGTTCGCTTGCGGACTAAAGTCACGGAGTTTAGTTTAGTTTTTTTAGTCATGGACTCTACCACGAATTTTCCTGGGGAGGAGTGAGTTTTACAAAGGGTGAGAAAACTAGAAAATTTGTTTATAAACTTAAATTTAAGACGTTTAAGAGTATTTTGATTGGTTTATTGGTCCAGTATTCAGATGTTAAATTACTCATAAATGTTGTTACTAACATTTGGTACCCCCCCCCCATCTTGCAGGCGCCCATGATGGTACTGAACCAAAAACAAATATATAACGCATTTACTGCTTTGATCTGTAACGTTAAGGGAAGCTATTCTTCAGTATTCATGAGAATATTGCATCTTCGTAGCAGATTATTCGTTTCTTTCTCACACTAGACTTCAGCCTTCAGCTTTACACAGGCACAGTAATTACTAAGAACCCATTAGCACGTGCATGATTTGCATTTTGCTATACTCTATAAACATGTACAGAGAGGTACCTATATAGGGCGTAATATGTGAAAAGTATATGACTAATTTTCTCTCTCAAATATAGATATGTGGAGAGATGCGTCTACATAGGCAGAAATATATGAAAGGTGTATGACTAATTTTTCCGCTCCAGTATGAACATATACAGAGATGCGACTGTGAAAATTATATTACTTATTTTTCGGCTCCAATATAGACATGTATAGAGTAGCGTCTATATAGGCAGAAATACGTGAAAGGTTTATGACTAAATTTCCGTTCTCTATAGAGGTGTCCATATAGACACTAGTATGTGAAAGTTACGTGACTGATTTTTCCTTCGCAATATTGACATGTACAGAGAGGTGTCTATACAGGTAGTCATATGTGTAAGCCGTATGATTCATTTTTCCGGTCCAATATAGACTTGAACAGAGGGGCTTTAATGTAGTTAGTAATATGAGAAAGTTTTTTTTGTTCTAATATAGACTTATACAGAGATGCGTCTATATAGGCAGTAATATGTGAAAGGTATGTAGCTTATTCTTCCCTCCTATATATATAGATAGATAGATAGATAGCCGACTATATAGGCAATATTTTGTCAAAGAACAGGATACTTTTTCTCTACTCTACACATGTACAGGGAGGCGTCTATATGCTGAGTAATATGTGTAAGGTATATATCGAAAATAAACATGTACAGAGAGCTATTTACATAGGCAGTAATACGTTATGGAATGTAGCTTATTTTTCCATCCAAAATAGATATGAACCGAGAGGCGTCTATAAGGGCAGCAAAGGCATGTCCAATATAGATATATAACGATGGACCTCTGTAGCCGTAATATGTGAAAGATATATGATCTATTTTCGGCCCTAACACAAACATGAATAGAGGGGCGTATATATAGGCAGTGTTATGTGAAAAGTACTTGAGTTCGCTTTCCTCTTCCACTATACATATGTAGAGAAATTTCTATGTAAGGAGTCACATGTAGGCATGTACAAAGAGGCATCTACAGTATATAGGCAGTAATACACGATGTGAAAAATATATGACTTATTTCATTTTACTCTATTACATATACAGGAAGGCATCTCTATGGGGAGGAATATCTGAAAGTTTTATGACTAAATTTCGGCTTCAATATAGACGTATAGAGAGAAGCGTCTATGTAGGGAGCAATATGTGAAAAGTTAATGAATTATTTTTCGGCTCCAATATAAGCTTGTACAGAGAGGTGTCTATATAGTCAATTATATGTGAAAAATACATCACAGATATCTTTTCTCTCTATACTTATGCACAGAAAGGCGTCATTATGGGGAGTAATATGTGAAAGTTATATGAAAATATTTCCGGCTCAAAGTAGACATGAACAGAGGGGCGTGTATATGAGCAATAATATGTGAAAAATACATAACTTACATTTCACCTATATACATATGTAGAGAGAGGCGTAAGAAGTATACTGATTAATCCGTGAATGGTATATGATAATTTTTACTCTAATATAAAATTGTTCAGAGAGGCGTCTATATAGACAATTATGTGTGAAAAATACATAATTTATTTCTTTCCCTCTATGAATATTTTTGAGAGTGGCGTCCATATGGGGAGTAATATGTGAATTGTATATGACATTTTTTTTGGCTCCAATATGCTTGAATGCTTCTATAGAGAATCATCTATATAGTCAGTAATATGTGAAAAGTACAAGACTAATTTCTTCTCCTCACTATACACTCATGTAGAGAAGCGTCTGTATAGAAATGAATATGTGAAAATTCCTTTTTTCTTCTTCTCCTCTACACACATGTACAGAGAGGCGTCTATATAAGCAGTAATATGTAAACGCATAACACTCTTTCCTTCTTCCCACTATACCAGTACCTACCTGCAAAATAGCGTCTGTATAGAAAACAATATGTGAAAAATACATGCCAGATTTTCTCTCCTCTATGCACATGAAGAGAAGGGCGTCGAAGAGATGGGCGTCTATATAGNGTATGACTCACGGCAAATTGCAGCCGCGGCGCGCACTTGATTGTACGCACTGTATATCAAGAGTATATGATTTATTTTTCGTCTGCAATATAGATATGTACAGATTGGCGTATATATATATATATATGCAATTATACGTAAAAAAATGACAATTATATGTAAAAAAATGACTTATTTTATCTCCTCTATACATATGTACAGAGATGTCGATATAGGGAGTAATATGTGAAAAGTATATGACCATATTTTCGGCTCCAATATATACTTCTATAGAGATACAACAATATAGGCAGTAATATGTGAAAAGTAGAAGACTTATTAATTTTCCCCACAATAAACACTTGCAGAGAAGCGTTTGTAGAAGAATAATGTGAAAAATACACTCCTTGTTATTTTCCCCTCTATACATATTCTCTGCACCTGTATATAGTGGAGAGAAGAAAGAAGTGTTATGCTTTTCACATATTACTGCCTATATAGACGCCCCTCTCTAGATGTGCATAGAGGAGAAAAATGAGTCACCTAATTTACACATTACTTTCCATACAGATGCTTCTCTGCATGTGTGTATAGTGAGGAGAAAAATAAGTCATATACTTTCCACATATTACTGCCTATATATGCGCCGCTCTGTACATGTGTATAGAGGAGAAAAAATGAGCCATGTATTTTTCACATATTATTTTCTATAAAGACAATTCTCTGCCATGTGTGTATAACGGAGAGAAAGAAATAAGTCTTATACTTTTCACATCTTACCCCCTATATAGACATACCTCTCTTGATGTGTACATAGGGCAAAGAATGCATGTATTTTTCACATATTATTTTCTGTACGACGTTTCTCTGCACGTTTGTATAGTCGGGAGAAGAAAATAAGTCTTATACTGTTCACATATTACTCTCTGTTAGATGCCCCCTCTCTACATGTGTATTGAATAGAAAGAATAAGGAATGTATTTTTCATATATTATTTTCTTTACAGATGCAGTAATATGTGAGAGGCATGTGACTAATTTTAATGCTCCTAATTGATATTATTGGCCATATAGACCCTGATAACATACCAACAGTGTTTTGTGTATATATGCAGTGAGTTATTTACAGAGTGAACAACCTGATCTTCAACAGCTTAAATCAAAAATATTCTTTAGAAACAATATATCCATCCACAATAATACTACAATGGATCTTGGATAAAGAGGATGGGTGATCTAGACTGGATTCATTTGTCTCAGTGTACTGACCAGTGGCAGGCTCTTGTGAACATGGCAATGAACTTTCATGTCTCATGTTTTGAAATTCCTGAGGAACTGAGTATCTGCTCCCCTCTATGAAGTCAGTTCAGTTAGTCATGTGACTGACATTGTAGTGATTCATGAGGAGCAGAGCAGTGGATACTAAGCAGGTATGACACCTACCGACCACTTCAAGAAACTTCATGATGTTCCCTCACAAATGGAATAAATCAATGTTATATCTTCTTTACAAACCTCTTCATTCGAGTTTCAGTTGTAAAGATGATTTCTGTTTATCCTGCATAAAAATTCTGGCCACACAAATGCATAATATGTAATAACAATAATGAGCATATATGCACTTGAATTGTAGCTAACATTATATTCTCCATACAGACATCTGAATTACATATATATAAACTGATATACATTAGGTATATCTATGCATAATACACAGATGCCCAACATATTATACTAATGGCTATGCACAGACCTAAATAAGAAAATATTGAATATATGAAAGCATAACATTTTCTTATATCACCTTACAATTCAGACCCATACCATGAATGTATTCAGTGAAAAAGTCAGAGTGACAGATATTTGAACAGTTTTCTAACACAGTTATTCTATCTTTCAATGTGATCCTCAGGCTAACGTGGTTGACACGAACGCTACTCCACTGAGTTTAATAACGTTATACATATATGCACCTGTATTTGATGTGGTAATACAAGCTATACAGATGCCAAAATTGTATATAATATACTGGCTATATAAATATCTGATCAACATAAATTATATAAAGTATTCTATACAGAAGTCTAATAAATATGAAGGCAAATCGAAAAGTCTTTGCCCCTATTTCTTTTCAGCCACAATAACACACATACAGGGAAATCAAAATGCATTCAGTGTTATAAGTACCTTTGACTATTTTTCCACATAGTCACCACTCCGGTTCAGGCATTTGTCCCATCGCACCACTAGTTTGGAGATGCCGCTGTTGTAGTATTTGGCTGGTTGAGCACGGAACCACCGCCGGACAGCGGTTTTCGCGTTGTCATCAGAAATGAACCTCTGGCCTGCCAGTAACTTCTTCAGTGGACCGAACACGTGGTAATCACTGTGGGCGAGGTCTGGACTATACGGTGCATGCTCCATAATCTCCCATCTAAATGACTGCAATCATGCCCAGGGATTCTCGTGGACGATGTGGTTCTCCTCCATGACAATGCCAGGCCTCATTTGGTAAACAGGACCGCCACCCAACTGCAGTCATATAGGTACAACACAGTAGATCTTTAGCCCTTTATTATATTTTACTAATGCATCTGAAGCAAAGCAAACTTTTAGAGCACTTTAAACATTTTAAAACTCCATATACAAAACAACATTGCAGAACTGATGGATCAAAGGAACTAGATGCAAATGAAAATGATGGTGCACAGAAAAACTGTAAAGACTGCACATGATGAAGTTCTGCAGTTGTTGCCTGTTGAAGAGATACGTGTCATCAATGCAGCTCATCTTACAGTCACAGTGGTGGTCATGGCAGAATCCAGACACAAACATGTATGTAACATTGTGTTAATGTGAGCATAGCAGCTTCATTAATTAGCATCTCCTGATCAGCATGTGAGGTCTGTAATGCTAACAGGGCAATAAGGTGCAAACATTGGTTTCTGAGCCAATATTACTTGAAAGAATAAAAATTTCAGTCTAAAAAGCTGGCAAAATACATGAGAAACATATCTGATGGATCATATTCATCACCAGTTGAAACTGGAGAAAAATGTTACTATTCTCATTTCTGAAGCTGAGAGGTCAAAAGGACTGTTTTAGAATATTCTTACTGCAGCATTAAATAAAAGGGTACATGATGAACAAACTAAATAAGGTGCCCTAATGAACTAGTATTCAAGACCTCAATTCTGTACTTGCAGATACCATAACTGGTGTGAACAAGAGATAAAATACTCATAACTTGAAGGCATGCTCCAACACTGTCTGCTGTGGGTTCTGTCCAAGTACACATTAGATGTCATCACACAATAAACTGTACCACGAATCTGTACTTGTGGAAGAAGGAATTCTGTGCAATACAAAGTGTAAGAATAGTGCACCGTGCAATACCAAGTACACATGGATTAACCTGAAATTGGTGCTGCAGTTCATGTTTATCTTCTGATACCTCACTCAATTTATTCACTTATTTCATCCTCATTTCTATAACATTGATTTATGTTTCTTTTCAAGATGATTTTTATGTGCAGAACTTTTGTGCAGTTCTCAGGAAAAAAAAACAGAAACCAAAAACTGTTGTACCTGGTTCATAACTATGCTGTTGAGACTCACAACTAGGCTAAGTAAGAAATGTACAATAAACATATGATATTTTTCTGTAATGTCAGAAAAACGGTGAGAACTATTTTCAATTAAAAGAGATGTGACAAAAACTAGTTTTTACTGAAAAATAAAAGCTGTAAATACTAGGAATTCCAACTTTAATTAGGGTTTCACTAACAGATGCAGTAATTTCGAGTTGTAACAATGGAACAGTAATTTTGCCTAGTGTTCACTGAGGTTTCTAGATTTTACTAGTATGAATTTGAAACAAATCTGAAGTTTTCACTCTAATATCATATAATAAACTTCCTGATGACCTGCAGCATCACAAGGCTCCTATGGAATCCACAGATCATGAAACAACAGACCTCAAGCAAGTCTGGTGTTATATGTAATAAAATTCTTGTGCATCATATACATCAAATTTCCTGATAACCTGATTAATGTTTTTTATATACACAGAAATCTGCTGTGGATTCCATAGGTCTTGAACCAGAGACTTTAAGCAGGCTAGTGTAATGTCTCATGTTACCACCTTCTTTTGAAATATTGTATAATCATTCAACTTCTTGACAGCTTGCAGCCTGGTTTGGTATGAAACTGTAAATAGCTGTAAATATAATGGAAGATATAAAAGTGTCTGGCTGCAGAACCAGTTACTGCAAATACATTCCCTGTTTTTGCTGGGGAAGAAGCTTCTGCCAGTCACTGATCAGTGGCATGACTCATCAGGGAGGGTTGATTAGTACATGGTAACAGTATTTAGAGAAAGAGGAAATATAATGTAGAAAAAAAGAAAAGGAACTGTAAAAGCACAACAATTCTTATAATGAAAATAATGCAAGTTAAATCTTTATCTCTTGGAAGAGTTTCCACCATTTGTTGTTTAATTTGAACTGGCCTGTACTTCATCCTTCTACACTGAATTGGGTTCACTGTAAACCCTCTATGTATAACACAGTAAAAGCAAAGCAAGCAAAGCTATCCCTGTGACAGGCCATGAAGGCCCATAGGGTTGTGAGGTGTTGAGGGTCCCACATTATCTAGACAATCTGCTCAAAAATGGCGGTAAGGTTGTCAGCCTTTACATGCTGGCCGCGCTTTACTCCCCAGGAAATGTATTTAATTAACTCCTGGTACTCATTTCTGTTAGAGGCTGAGTCAACCCCAGGGCCATAGTGCGGCTGGAAGGATTAGGTCAACTGAAAATAATCCAATGACCTCATCGGGACTTTAACCCATGACCTTCTGGCTTATAGCATAGTGCCTCAACCAACTATGCTACCGTGTCCCCCTTCTATGTATAACACAGTCCATCAATAATGCAATAAAATGTTTCTTTTTCTTCCACTTACACTTTTAACACGACACATTTCGGCCCTTGATGGTCATCTTCAGGTGCTACACTTCAGTAATATGCACTAAAATCACATGTTGTAGTTCATTTAATGCAATAAAATAAAATACATTAAAATTTTCTATTAAAATTTGTTCATTACTTTTGTGAAATTCTATTCCACCTCACAAGGGGTGTCGTCCACTTGTTTAGAACTATATGTTTCTCTCCATGTGTTTTATTGCAGCAGATTGTTTTTTATATTCGTTATCCAATTGTTCTGTTATGTCTGCAACCTGTAATCTACAAAATGCCACATGTTAATATTGCTTTTGAATGTTGTTATTAATGTTATGCTATGTTGGTAATTTCTTGTGCTTGTCTTCCTTTACATACAGTTCTCCATGTTATGAATCATCTCAGAAAATGTCCATATCCTATACACATAGCGTGGAACCTGATTGTATTTCCATTCTTGTTGATGTGTGGTGGATATCTGCAAACTATACAAAAATGGTACTGTTTTGAGTAATTTTAACTTAATTATAGTTATGTACATTGCATAGACTTTACTTATTCATATGGGATTCCTATTTTGCAGGCTGCATCCTATCCATTTATGTAGGACTGGCTGAATTGGATTTGGAATAAGAATGCAGGGTATAATTTAACCTACATGGTGCTGTGGTTGCTGTCCAAGACATTCAGAATTCCATCATACATCAGGTTATATATGTCTGAAAGTATTTTTGAATAAATTTCAAGCACATACAATTTTATAAGTATCACACAATGGTAAATAATTATATTATGATAAATACTGTTAAGTTTACATGTATATCCATGTAAAATTAAGTTGAATCCAACCTAATTCATTATTTTCTATATTTTCATGTCTGAATAAAATTTCTACTTACACTACAGATATTTTTGTCTGATCAGTGTTATGACATTTGATGACGACCATCTATGGCCAAATATGTTTGTAGTTAGAAATAAAAAACAAGGCCCCTTAATATAATTTTGTGTGACAGTTATTACAAGTATCATGACTCAAGATAAACACATACAGGATGCAATCTTAGAAAAAATTGGTTATTATGCTGAAAAATAGTTCTGATTTAATGCCATTTTTAGGAGTACTAGTAATTTTGTTTTTTGTTTGCCACGTATTCTGTTCAGACTGTTCATTAATTATGTCTGTGACATATTGAGTTGGGATACTGGTTTACATACTGTTCAATATCAAAGGAACATGTTTTTAGATATTCACAGTTTTCAATTCCATTTGAAACATTCAGTCAATGAAATGAGTTTCTGATGTTGATGAAATCAGGTAGGTGAATATATTCCTGAAAAGATTGACAGTGTACCTTGCTAACTTGCAGGAGAGGGCATTGCACCAGTTGCCCCATTGTGGGGTGGCATGTCACACTACCAGACTCACTGGGGTGTTTGGTTTATTAATTTTTATTAAACTAGTTATTTTAGGGTTGTAGGATTTCCATTTATAAATTTTGATTTCTGTCCGTAACAATAATGGGTGTGTTAATATCACATCTTTTGGTTTTCTGGTATTTTTCTGTTTCACCATTATGCAAAAAAGAAAATGTAAAGCCATTCATGCAACAGGTTGTGGAGGCCCATTGGGTTGCGAGATGCTGAGGCTCCCACAGCTGGCTCACAGATGGCGGTGAGGTTGTCAGCCTTAGGCACTGGCCACCCTTCATTCCCAGGAAGATTCCTGGTACTCATTACTGTTAGAGGCTGAGTCAACCACAGTACCAAAGTGCAATTGGAAGGGTTAGGGCCCTTCAATATAATTACATCCTAAGAATGTTTCTACTTTTAAGGCTGAGGCCACACGAGTGCGCAAAATGCGTCCATTGTAATGAACATTGTGATGTCTGTTGTAGAAATAAACAAGAGAGGTGAATGCTATGCTTTCTTCTGGCTCCATTTCAGACAAAAAATATGCACCACTTTCTGCAAGTGTGTGGTGTCCTCAGCAAAGTCCATCATAATATATGTTCGTTGCAATGGAACGTACTTCGTGCGCTCGTGTAGCCCCAGCCTAAGTTGGATTCTTGTTCATATATTATGACAAAATGACCTTTGTCAGTTTCTGTAGCTATTAGGTAGTGAGAGGGCTATTTTTTATTCACAGGTAGCAGACTGAATAATATTAAGTTCACATCTTACTTTTAAGAGCCACTTGAAAACCAATACCTGCCCCATTCCATTCTAGTTTGCAAGGCATCCACATTTCTAGCATCAGGAAGGTTCTGCAGTCAGCATGACTTGTATGGCACACACATCAGTAAACATCTTGATATTAAGTCCGTGCATGCTCTTTTCATTTTGAAAGATATGATTCAAGTTGAAGAGTGTTGTATTTGTTTCAAATGTCAGAGGAGTATCCAAATCATTCTGCACTGTAACATATGAAGCTAAATAATGGTTATAACTTCAGACCAATTTCGTCCATAATGAAACTGCATGACAACTAGAAATAGATCTACAGTGATTGCAATATGGAAGACAAGAATTGGTTTTATGACAGGCACAAGTTACAGAGACAAAATGTATTTCATGTTAACTGTCATCTATTTAAATACTTTTCCATTTCCATATCAGAACACACATTTAAGTTTGAAGAATGCCGTCTTCTGGGATGTGGCACCATGTAGATCTTATGTGAATATGTTCCTCTGAAACTTCGGTTCACACAAGAACTACATGGCACCACATCCCAGAAGACGGCATTTTTCATAGTCACCGCCATGAAAACCTCAAATCTTACATAGAATTAAGTTTTTAGTTACTATAGGATTCTGACAATGGTGNATATATTAATAGTTTTTAGGTCATAAAAATCCGGGCCCTAATAATTAGTGACACATCAGCTGTGCACTGAACACGTTTATCTGAAGAGAGGCAGCCAAGGTTCTGGAAAATGACAAGAAAGTCAGGTGATTCAGTAATTCAAGGAACATTGTGTATCTGACACCTTCTTTGACACAGAAGAATTTTCAGATGTAAAAATAAGGAGCACATTCTGCTATATATGTCACACTGATAGCCTCCCAGAATACATTTCAAAGAGAATTATGAAAGTATAAGAGGTGGAACAGAACTTTCCAGCATAGTTGACATTTTTGGTCATTCTCTTCACTTACTGTTTATTGCACAAAAGTGTCTTGCCAAAACGAACAATGAAAAATGTTGGATGGTGGTTGCAGAGAAACTTGATGGTTCCAAAATATCTATTGGAATGAATGTGGAATATATACAGAAAGAATGGAAGCATAGTTGATACACTGTGAAATAAGAACCAGACACAAAGTTACAAGATGGCAAAACCTTAGCATGTAGAGGCTGTGTGACTAAGTCTGAAATAGAGAAATTAAAATTATTATGGTTTAACCATAAGAAAAAATGTTACCAGTATGGAAAACATGGAGGGATCTCTCTTTTCATAAGCTCTGAACAGATGAATTATCTTTGTCTAAGTGACACTGACACTGATAATTAGTGTAATTCAATGCTGGAGTTGGGTATGAACAGTACGAATAGAACACAATCACGAAAATGTCAATGAGTGTTTGTTGTTTAGACATGGTGACCTAAAACTCTTTTTATAAGGCTTAACACATTGAAATTTGGAGAACATGGGGAAGTATGGACCAAAATGAAATTTCCTTCTCATCTTTCAGCTCAGTTTTTATCAAATTTATCATCTGGTTCCAAATCTAAAATGAATAAATGGTCTCATAGCTGTGATCCTTCCACAAGTCAGTCTGTGTTTAATTTATTTATTTCTAGATAGCAATGTTTGTAAGAAGCTCTCTTCAGGAGGTATTAAGAAATACTTTTCAACATGTGGAAAATTTGTCCTTTACTTTTTATGCAATTACCAAATTGAAAAAGGAAAGTATTAAAGTTGTAAATACTAACAGTACTGACCTTAATAACAGGTTTGCAATATGAAAACTACACACAAGTTTATCACTCAGTTGAATCTAAATGGAATGGGTCCTACAAGTACTGACATTAATGACTGTGAAAAGTATCATTTAATTCTCTTGAAAAGACTGACACTAGTTCAGTTCACTGACCTTCACTGATGCATATGCTAATTACTTCAATTTCGCATAAGGAAAAATTGCCTGATCAGTGGAACGAATGTATTATTGTACCAGTTCACAAGAAGGGTGATAAAATTGTCTGTAGTAATTATCGGGGGATATCAGTGCTATCAACTTCATACAAAATTTTATCCAATATTCTCCTCTCAAGGTTAAGTCCATACATAGATAAAATTATTGGGGATCATCAGTGTGATTTTGAGGTAACAGATCAGCTACAGATCAGACCTTTTGCATCTGTCAGATATTGGAGAAACAATGGGAGTACAATGAGACAGTACATCAGCTATTCATAAACTTCAAGACAGCCTATGATTCAGTTAGGAGGGAAGAATTACAATATTCTGATAGAATCTGGGATACCCACAAAACTGGTTAGGCTGATTAAAATGTGTTTAAACGAAACGTATAGTAAAGTCCGTGTACGTAAACATTTGTCTGATAAATTTCCTATCCAGAATGGTCTAAAACAAGGAGATGCTTTATCGCCACTCCTTTTCAACTGTGCTTTATAATAGCCAATAGGAAGGTCCAGGAGAAGCAGATGGGACTGAAATTAAATGGGACACATCAGCTGTTCATCTATGCAGATGATGTGAATCTACTTGGTGATAACATGGATATCATAAAGAAAAAACACAAAAACTTTAAATGACACAAGTAAGGAGGTTGGTCTAGAAGTAAACACAGAGAAAACTACGTATATGTTGCTGTCTTGTCACCAAAATGCAGGGCAAAATCATGACATAAAGATAGGAAACAGATGTTTTGAAAATGTGGCTCAGCTCAGATATTTGGGAACAATGATAACAGATCAAAACCTGATTCAGGAGGAAATTAAGAGACAATTGAACTCGGGTAATGCTTGCTACCATTCAGTCCAGAACCTTTTGTCTTCTCGTCTGTTGTCCAAAAACATAAAAATTAGAATATAAAAAACTATAATTTTGCCTGTGGTTCTGTATGGGTGTGAAACTTGGTCTCTGACATTAAGGGAGGAACATAGACTGAGGGTGTTGAGGAGAATATTTGGACTGAAGAGAGATGAAGTGACAGGAGGTTGGAGAAAACTGCATAATGAGGAGCTTCATAAATTGTACTCTTCTCCAAGTATAATTAGAATGATCAAGTCAAGGAGGATGATGTGGGCAGGGCATGTAGCACTAATGGGGGAGATGAGGAATGCGTATAGGATATTGGTGGGAAAACCAGAAGGAAAGAGACCACAGGGAAGGCCAAGGTGTAGATGGGTGGACAATATTAGAATGGATCTTAGAGAAATAGGATGGGATGGTATGGATTGGATAGATCTGGCTCAAGATAGGGACCAGTGGAGGGCTCTTGTGAACACGGTAATGAACCTTCGGCTTCCATAGAATCCTGGGAATTTTTTGAGTAGCTGCAGAATTGGAGGCTCCTCAAGAAGGGCTCAGCTCCATGAGTGAGTGAGTGACATTCACTGATGCAGGCCTAGCAAATGTTGTTCTTTTAGGTTAATATAATGTGTGGGTGTTATTTATACACACTTTGTTTTTTTAGGTTTCCTCATGGATAGAAATCACAGGGAATTAAGTCTGAAGCTCTTGCATGACACAATATGAGATTTATACACCTGTCTTAACATCTTACTTAAAATATTAATTGAATTAGCAACCAGAGAAGTCATAGTGGTTTCTCTGGCTGCCTGCATCATGGAGGACTCACTACATCAGAAGAACGTCTTATTGTAAATCCTACATCTTGTTGAATTCTAAGGAATATTCAGTACTGCACATAATATTTTAAATACACTTCTGCCATTGCCAGGTGACCTTGGGTATATGCTAAATAGATATTGTAACCGTACAATTTGCTCCTCGTAATATTCAGTCTCATTGTAATAGCAGCAGAGCAAGGTTTAAAACACTTAAAATTAATATTTTACAATATTTTTCCTGTTCATGCATTTTAGAAATTCACCACAGTGCCTGTAGTTTGTGTTCATGTTTGTAAAGTTAGAAATTCAGTTTGAACACCAATACAATATTTTCTTTTTATTAAGTGAAATCATTTGCACTATTTGAGCTACTGGCTCGATCTACAACACTTTTAATATTTACATTTCGTAATACTGTTAATTTCTTCTTAAGTGTAGCAACATGATTTTTTATTACCATTTATGTCGCTTGGGCCAAATGTATTATTTACAGGTCAGCCTGAGGTTACTTTTGTTCGAGCCCCATCTGGGACTCATGATCACATTTTATTTACAGTTGGATAGCTACAGAATTGGCAAAGTGGGGTGCCTTTTTTGACGAGACAACGGGTCTGTAATTTGTCAGAGTCATATTTAGCAGTATACATCATTTATGTCTATTATTGTATGTCACCTGTCAAGATGTATATATAGTATTTACAGCTCTACATGTATAAACGGGGCACGCGGTGGCGTAGTTGGTTGAGGGGCTATGCTACAAGCCGTAAGGTCGCTGGTTCAAGTCCCGATGAGGTCATTGGATTTTTTTCAATTGACCTAATCCTTCCAGCCTCATTATGGCCCTGGGTCGACTCAGCCTCTAACAGAAATGAGTAGTAGAATTAATTAAATAGTTTTCCTGGGGAGTAAAGCACGGCCGGCGCGTAAGGCTGACAACCTTACCGCCATCTTTGAGACGATTGTCTAGATAATGTGGGACTCTCAACATCTCACAACCCTATGGGAATTCATGGCCTGTTACAGGGATAGCTTTACATTTTTTGTTTTTTACTTTTACATATATAATACATGGCAGAATATAACTAAATATATAATATATACAAGACCTCTAACAGCAGATCATGCCTTACCTTAAGTAGCAAACAGTCGTGCGCAACATTTCTTACAACGTTCCCCAGTACATTTATTCCCATTGCGGGGTTTCAAATACAACGAACACAGCCATGAATAAACCAGAACCGAACGTACGTATGAAAGGGTATAAATATCATGAAGTGATCATGAATATTGGTACACAAAGCAGTGGGGGAAACATTGCAGTGCAATATTTCTCTACCTAGAAGAAGAAGAAGAAGAAGAAGAAGAAGAAGAAGGAGGAGGAGGGAAAGCTTGTCTTCTGGATTATAACAGTACGTTGTCTGGTAGGTGACACAGACCTCTGGCTCCAAAATTTGTAGAACTTAAAAAAGAATTATGTTTGTTGGAGTGTATTAAGGGGGGTGTGATATTTAGCCTAGTTTCGATACCAGGTCAGGTTATGTGGGATTTGTAGTGGGCAAAGTGGCACTGGGGAGGTTACTCTTCGAGTACTGTACTTCGGCTTCCCCTGCCGGTTCTCATTTCACCATCTGCTCCACGTTCGTTAATGATCCTATCATCTGATAATCTCAACGCTGACAGCATCGTTAAATAACAAAGTTCAGTCTACGTATCGCATTTAAAAGCGACGCTGTAAATATGAATTTGCTACAACGAAACCGAATCTCGAATTTCAGTAAAATAGATGGCTTTTATGGCATAAAGAAAGGGGAAATAATGTATGATATTACTAACTCCCTTGCTTATCATACCCCCTTCATTATTATTCATTTCCTTTTCGCCGGTTCATGAATAACTGAAGCATATAAAATTAACAAATTGTGTGGGAACGGCGGCTGTGTGGCATGAATTATGTGCCATTTAGGGCTCAAATTTTAAGAGTTCCTAGCTTGTAAAATTACGTAAAAATCTGTAACTAGATAATAAAAGCCAGTTAGAAAAACATGGTTAAAATAAGAGACATTTATAAAAGTTCTGTGCACAAAGTACATGAAGTAAATATATTAATGGGAACTTGCATATATTTCATTTTCAAAAGTACCTACCTTACGGGCTTGGATGAAGTATGATAGTGTTGGTAAATATTTTAAAGTTTTCAAGAGAATTTTGTTTTGATATAATACAATCTTCCTTCAAATCATATCAAGCATAGCTTGCTGCTATGACAGTATGGCTGTAGAGTCCAGACGGATCGGCAGAGGAGCATTCTGATTCAACGGGGTGAGACTGGGCTCTCAAATGCGTACGTCGGCCATGTTTATTAAAGTCATAATTATTGTAAGTTTCTGGGGAAGGGGCTGCTTGTTGTTTAACATTTTAAGTAGGGGCTCAAAAGGAAAAGTCCTGCTCAATACCGCCCAGCCTGTAGACAGTCTTTATTGCCTGATCTATCAAAATTTATAACGAAATATGGGTTCGTTAAAAGTCAAATCTCGCTCGCAATTTGTGTGGTTGTCCCTCGGCTCTTCCCTTTGCTGCCAGTTAATTCAGATGATGTCAACGTGGAACAGATTTATGACGTATCAAGGAGAGCGAAAGGGATAATCTTTCTTTCCTCGGTGGCCTTCACTCACGTACTCTAAGTATGGTAGAGCAGGCAAAAGTGAATTAACGGAAACATGATTTTTTTTCTTTCGCACAAAGGAAATACTAAAAGTGTCAACCCTTAATCTTAATATTCACTTAAGTATGATTTTGGAGAGGCAAGATTAACTGTATTAACTCGCAGTAAGATATCATAATATAAATAAATTAACATTCTTATACAGCTCACTGTCCATAAATGCGAAGTTTTAGTCTACGTTTTCTGTTTTTAAGGAGGGAAAAGGAAGCAGAGTCTACCGCAGCCTGTAGCAGCTCCGTGTTCGCTCAGAACATTATGATTTCGGAAAATTTCTCATTGCATTCATACTATCAGTAGATGCTGGCATCACCTGCCATTATACGAACATCACACAACCACTAGTAATCTGTCATCATAGGAATTATGCCTCGCGTTGTTACTTCTTGTATAGAGTTTGTATTTTGAAGATCCATCATACCGCAAAACGTCAAAATCTTATATGCCTATTTATTAAAACTAGCGTTAAAAGCACCTCAAGATTTCGCATGGACACCATGTTGTTTTATTGCTTACGAAGCTGAAATGGAGTACCATTTAGGTTCTGATATCAGGGTGTTAATGGGTATTTTATACTTTATCAATTAAAGTTAAATTCCCACTTCAAGCCACCCAACTTGTCAGATGTCGACCTTATTTCATAATATTGACCCTTAGTTATCAACGCATAATCGCATAAGGTTTCATACAAGTTGGTGGACACTAAGCAGTACTTTGCTCTTGTTCATTTAGAACTAACTTAACTTCCATTTTCCGGCCACTCGTTTTATCAGATCGACATCTTGTTTCACAATATTAGCATCCGCTTATCAGCGCATGATCGTACACAGTTTCATCCAAACCAATCTAAGTTAAGGGACACTTTACTCTTGATGATTTAGAGTTAAATTTCCTTTTTCCGCCACTCCTTTCGTGAGATCGTGATCTTATTTCATAATATCGATATTCAGCTATCGACACGCGTTCGCATAAAGTTTGATCCAAGCTGATTCAAATTAATATTGTAGCATGTAGACCCGTAGCTAAACAATTACTCTCTAAACAAAACCCGTTGCTAGACACAGATTCTTAACATGTACCAATGGACTAACTCTGAAGAGATGTTCTCTAAGCGGTCCGTACTAGAGCTGCGTGACGCAACAATACAAAAGTGTTGGAAGCCGTATTTTCTATGCAATCTGTGCCGAGGTGTTATATAAACAGGACTAGCCAAGCGTTTAGTTAATGCCCGTGTGGAGGCGGGATCGAATACCTCCACCGTGACCCTGCGAGTCGAAGGAGGCGACGAAAGGGGAAGTCTCGAATCTGAGACAGTAAAATATGGACGCGAGCCCCAAGGGACTCGGACTTGAGAAATATTTCACTGGCAAGGACCAGCAGCATACGTAAAAGACAGACCCGTCCTCTCGTCAGAGAGGGCGCCCCGCAAAAGCTAGACCGTAACTGTCAAACAGTAATAAATATCTGGTCATGAGCCCCAGATGGGGCTCGATACCAAGACTGATTGACCATCAGTCGCAATGTGACTTTGACTTGAGTTTAGTTAATTGTGAGACAGTCTCCGGCCATTAAGCACGTGAACGCGGAATCTGAGGAAGCTACCGCTTTGGTTGTAGTTACCAGGTGACAACCGCTGAAAATACAGCATACATAGAAGTTTTGGTACTTGCAGTCGGAGACCGTGCCATATCTCAGGTGGTTAGTCTCCGGCTTCCCTCCGCGGCGACCCGGGTTCGAGCCCAGGTCAGGTTATGTGGGATTTGTGGTGCACAAAGTGGTACTGGGGCAGTTTTTGTCCGAGCACTTGGGTGTCCCTTGCCAATTTTCATTCCACTGACTGCTCCACACCCATCACCTATCATCCAGAGCTGGTACAGCAGGCCAGTTAGTGGCCGACGTACCAAGTGGGCTGTCTCACCCTCACCCCAGGAAACTAAAAAGGAACTAGTGCCTACTGTAGTGAATTACAGAGCGTGTGAATTAGTGATAGCGCTCTAGTTGCTTGTAGTTACATTCTGTAAGAGTTCAATACCGCCAATTACTAACCAAAACCCTGTCTACAGTCACTCACACGTGACAATAGGGGTAGTTAGATACCCAAGAGACTATTGGGAATGCTTTCGAATGTCACAGGAACCTTTTGCTTAAGCTGCCTGACATTCATAGAATAGCTGAGCGGTAACGTCTTAACGGGAAACCTGAAACGAAGAGACAATTTGGAAGTGCTAGGCATAGATGCAAGGACATTATTAAAATGAATCTTAAAGTCATATGATAAAAAAATGGGGACTGTGTTGATTTGACTATGAATAGGTATCACTGAATAGGTTTTGTTCGGGATCCGTAAATAGGGGAAAATTTTGTGACTAAGTGAGTGATGAAATCCACTCCATGGGGTTAGCTAATTAGTACGGAGGAGCTCATTCTACTAATTAAACGAAACAGTGCTACTGTATACAATATGAAGGTGTAGCTAATGGAGAAGCATAGCTAGTTGGTTAATGGTTTAAACCCCATTCTTTTTTTTTTAACTCACTTAGTGTGCGGTGGAGTCCAACTGGGTCCACTCGGCACGGCGGCCACTGATTGGCCTATTGTAGCCTAACCGGGTGATTATGATGATGGAGAATTTGGTGGAATGAAGATTGGCAGGGGAAACCGAAGTACTCGGAGAAAATCCACCCCAGTGCCACTTTATCCATCACAAATCCCACTTGACCAGACTCCGGGATTGAACCCGGGCCGCCGCGGTGGGAAGCCAGCGACTAACCGCTTGAGTTATGGTGCGGCCAAAATCCCACTCTGCTCAACTGTAGTAGCTATTTGCGACTATCAACACATTAAACAAATAATTTCCATAACTTAAATATAATGACGTTTTTGCACATATGTTACCGTCATGACTTGATCTTCAGTGTCTCGTTTGTGGTAATAGAGTGGTCTACATAAAGGTGAGTTTGGGAATTTAAAAGAGGCTTTGTGCACTGTACAAACAACTGACACTGGTGTTACGTTTTTGCGCCCATCCCGAAAACAGACAAGTTCTCTGTCGGTGCGTAAGTACTTTCTACTGCAGGAATTTTACGCCTCCAATATTTGATATGCAACCTTGGCACACAAGACAAGCTGTTCTTTACGTGTCCTGCACACGGTTACTGTGCCTTCTGTTTTACTCGAGGGGATAATATGGCGGATCACGCAGCCGCGGAACCACGTTCCCCGGTTGAAAGTCGATGCGCTGTGACTGCGAAATTGGCGAAAGAAGAAGACATGTTATTACGTGCACTTCATCAAGTTCAAAATCCTGGGTCATGTTTTACATCTTAAATAAGTAAAACTTAGGAACTCTGGCTAAAATATTATTCTCCTAACCATGTCAAATTTTCTAGAACGTGATTCCGGGCATAGGTATTTCTTGTTGGGAATATCTGAAGCTTAGTCTTTCATTATAACTGGGAGAGCAAATATTTTTCAATAAATAACGGCACGGAGTACTTGAGAAGCTGACAGTCACTCAGTTAATCAAGATATTCTCTGCCTTTTAAGGAATCCGAAGTTTCGTTTCTGTGCTCATAGCC